AACACTTCTAGCTGAGTGTGCTCGCAACCCGAACGGGCAAGACACGTCTTTGGGCTTTGTAAGCCAAGGCGATGGCATCTACAATCTACTATCCAGTGGGCCATCCTCTGCTCTGAGACAGCCTCTCCCTTCTGCTGGCCTCCGTAACAGACGAAGAGCTGATCTGATCTGCTGTCCTGAAGCTTTGCATTCTGTCCATGTAAAACCGCAAGGAGCGGGCAGGGCAGAGAAAAGCCAAGGCTGGGTCTGCCTCCTCCGAAGGCAGCGATTGCAGGTTCACTACCTGGTCCCTAAAGGGAGTAGTAGGAACCGTGGGCACATATCCAAGCCGGTCTTAAGACAGCATGAGAGTTAGCCGGCCCAAATTCTAGGCACGATTCGTCGACCGAAAAAGCTTGCAGGTCCCCTACCCTCTTGATGGAAGCCAGAGCAGTCAGGGGAACAGTCTGTAAAGACAGGATCTGTCTGTGCGAGAAGGCTCACTGGGGGAAATGCATACTTGCACAGGCCTCAGGGCAAGCTGTGTGTCAGCGCATCCATGCCCAGGGGTTCCGTTGGACAGGGAGTAAAACAACTGGCAATGGATCGAGTCCGGACAGGCAAACAGATTTATCTGTGTGGCTCCGAAGAAGTGCCATATCAGCTGGACCACCTGGGGCAGGGAGAAGGCACTCTCCCGGAAGCGTAGGCTGTCGTGAGTACTTGTTGGCTGCACGATTGAGCATGCCAGGGATGTGAATGGCACAAAGTGACCTCAGATCAGTTGCGACCTGGGGCGGGAGCGTAGACCACCTTGGTGTTTGATGTATGCGGTTGCAGTTTTGTCAGTACGGACCAGTACGTGCTTGTAAGTTTTTTGAACGGCCTGTTTTCTGATGTTCTGATTTCTTGTCCATGCTTACAGTATATAGGCAGGCCATTTTACATTATTCCCCTGTACCAACGTCTATGTACAAAGTTACCATTACAAACCCAGACCAGTTTGTGTTTTCTGATATTCCAGGCATTCTGAAGTTATGAAGGACGTCATCCATGTGTAATAAAATTGTACTTTATTCTTTAGATAGATACACATCCAGTATTATATATACACACACATAAATGTAAAACAATCAAATCCAGGCGCGTCATGCAAGTCAAAATTCGGGTGCACAATCTGAGACGTTGCAATTGTTTTCTGACGGGTAATATGGATCATGTTAGGAGGGGTCAGGGGGTTTCTCCCCCTGATTTATTTTTTTTTAATTCTGGCTGCTAAACATACCATTTCAATGCAGTTTGGGAGGGACAGAAATACCTTAATGGCGCTAGCAGCAACACTCCTCTATCTGAGGACTAAGTTAAAGTATCTATTTTTTAAGTTTATATACGTAAAAGACAGGTTGATGAAAGAACTGTAAGCTCAAATTCAAAAGCCTTTGAAGTCTACTTCATTAAAGCATGTTTACACACACACTTACTGTACACTTAGGCATACTACACATGATTTTAAAAACAGTACAATTGTAGTTTTTGGGCAGTATTTTAATGATCTGAAACGCAAGTGTCAAAGCGCAAAGCGCAAGTAACTTTGTGGGCGGGTTGCCCGGCGCTGTTGCTATTTTCCCGGCGGGATAAATGCCTCTTGCGCCTGGCGCAAATCTAAAAGAGGTTGGTCTGAAGTAGCTTCATTATTCATAGGTGTGGTTTGGGCGTAACGTGAAATAAACCAATCAGAGCGCCATCCAACATACCCTTTAAGAGCAGGTGCGCATGTTGCATGACGGATTGTTATTATAACGGCGGGTTTACCAGGCGCGCGCCAGGAGCGTTCACAGCCGATGAGACCGACGCTCTTGTCAGGGCAGTTAAAAGACAGAGAAGTGATGTTGTATGGGGATGGGAGAAACCCTCGCACATCAGCGTTGGTTAAACATTATATATGTATGTTTCTTGCCACTATTTGGGCAAACAGGTCTGATCTTTTAGTACTACAATTAGCCTTAAAATATGGTTAATAAGGTTTTTTCATCTTCATGTAAAGCATGTTCCCTCATGTTTTAATATTTTTCCTTGTTATAATGTATGATTTGCAAAAATAAAAACTGCTGCATCTGTGTTGATGAGAGAATCAAAGTGTATGCGCGCTGTGCACCCGCTACATTATGGCCAAGCATGCGCGCTTAAAATAGCATTATGAACAACGCGCAACGCGCCACTGACTTTAGACCAGGTTTTTTCTGGTCAGTGGCGCAATTGTTTTCTGGAAGTGTAAAATAGCACCAGGGAATGTTTGCGCCGAAACACATCTCCTTTTTGCGCGATCCGCCCAGGGCGGATCATTTCCTAGTTTACTGACGAGCGTCTGTGGAGGGAAAAGCCTGCTTTGTGCAGGTGCAAAATAGGAATAATACATTACGTTTGTGTATAAAGTCATTTGCGCCGGATGCAAGATAGAGCCCAATATGTTATAATTTTAAATTGGTATGTGACCTAAGAACAATCTTACATTAAAGGTACATAAAGGTGCTGAGGTCTGACTTTGTGGTGCTCTGAAATTAAGTAATTTTAATATTAAAATGTGATGAGGGACTTTGAAAGAAGTTTGAAAGAAATTTCAGAGCTGAATAAGGGTAACACTACCCCACTTATTTGAAAATGGTTAATATTTGACAGAAATGTAAAAAAATCAAATATATAGCATTACTTTAGTAAAATCGTTGAAGTTACACTGCTCATTATTATATTTTAAATAAGGAACTTGTAAAAAGTAATTTATGAAAAGGTACAAGGTAATGGAGCATTTTACACATTGTCGTGTTTCTTTAGAAATAAATAAAGGTCAAATGGGGTCTTCAAACGCCTCAGATGTAAAGTTATTCACCGTCAAAGTGACACCAAAATGAATGGGAGTCAATGGGAAAGCTAACGCAAATGAAGTTCTGCTACAAGATGGAAGCTCCCGCGAGGCTTCAACTTCCGGTCGATGGATTACCCCCTTGGACACAGCACAGCGAGGTCGGTAACGTTACCAGCATCAAAGCGCAAACAAAGAACTATTCGATCTATGCCCCGAACTATTCATTATCCGCGTGCAGTTGTTGTTGTTGTCTTTGGATACAGGAAGAAGAATCGGAAATGATGCATATTGCGTCTTAAGGTTGTCCGTAAGTCTAGACGCTAACCGCGCGTCGCCATTTACATCGGGATATTGCAATTCCATGCATACAGGAGAAACTCTCTCTGCTCACGCATGTAAACGGGTTATTCCTAATGTTTCAGAAACTCGAATAGTGACCTTAAACTGACCATAACCCGAAAATTGGCTGCATGTAAACCAGCCCATTCTCACCCCCAAGGCGTCACTTAACTGACACCTTGGGAAGCATTTGGACATGCTTCAATATCTGACGCTTTAGGCGCCCTTTAGCGTCAGTTAGATGACGCCCTAGGATCGCGTCATGTAAGTGACGCTAAAGGGCGCCTAAAACGTCAAATATTGAAGCATGGTCAAAGGTGACGCCTTGGGGTGAGAATGCGTTGCGTAAACATAGTCAATGATTAGGGAAGGATGAAGGGGTACATTACATTGTAGCTGAATTGTAGTCATACTGAAATGAATCCTGTTAACAGTTATGGATCGTAGGCCTGTTAAAAAAACATACATGTTATGGATCTTAAAATATAGTTGATTTAATCATTAACCATCTCCAGTTTAATTTTATGAAGTTAAAAATTTACCGAACATTGCTGCAAATATCGTCGTTCCTGTTAATGCATTTAAAATTAAACACAAAAACGTATTATGCTAGTATATGTATTTAAAGTAAGCATCAACATAATAATCAATGTACATTATGTGTAAATAGATAATTGCTGCTAACATAGCTATTGCTGTCTGTCCTGCTTAAAATCATTCAAACTGGTTGACAGCGCGGCTCCACGTGACCGCGTGGCAACGAGATCAAAGAGCTCGCAAGCAACTCTCATTTATTAACGGCTCTGGGTGGACCGTAACGTTCGAGGTGAATAATGCCTAGTTCACACTACATGATTTTAAAATGTCGGGCTGAACTGTGCAGTTCACACTACATGACTTGCTCTCAGTGAAATCATGAGTGTTCAAGTTGTTTAGCTGTTCACACCACACAACACAACGTGATTGATCCACAACAGGAGGTAACTCACTACACGAGTTAACAACGCACTACATAGAGATACAACCACGATCGGATGATAAGAGCATATCATTTGTGACTCAATGAGAGCTGTTTCAGTACTATAATACGGTCTAAATCCTGAAAATAATCAAACAAATAACGAGTTGACAACAACACGATTCTATCTGGTCTAGAAACCATGTTTTGTAACGAAAAACCACGCAATAAAACGAACCAGAAATGACGCGAAACTGCAGAGAAGAACACAACACGCGAATATGGACGTCAGACAGAAACTACACGCTGTTTGCTCGACGATCTGCTCTGAGAAAAAAAATGCAAAAAAGAAAAAGTAAGATTTACCTGGTGTCCTCAACCCATGCGTTGCTATGATTGGCTGTACTCATGACATCACTGAGATTGAGTCGCGCGACTGCGCGAGATATCTAGCATGCTAGATATTTTTCTGAGCTCGGTGACCTGTCTGCGAGCTGTCTGCGAGCTGTCTTTGATGCGTTGTTGGCTCTTTCACACTAACTGATTGGCGAGCGTTAATCGTCCGCTAATCGCCCGCGATTTGCACGCGATAACACCCTGACTTGTCGGCGACTCAACGATTTGCAAATCGGGCTTAAATCGGGCTTAAAATCACGTAGTGTGAACTAGGCTTAAGGCGAATGACATGTTACAACTCACCTCCACCCACTCCCCGGTCTCCCCCTACATCTACGTCTTTTTGGGCAGGCTAACAGATTCCTTGAAAGTGCTGCTGATGCTCTGGTCCCAACTCTCTCCTGTCTCCTATGTGGTCTGGTCTCGCTCTCTTCTGTGACGCATGCGCACATGGGCAGCGCTCTTGGACTTAAAAACAGCTGGGCTCTTACGTGCGTTCACACAGAGAAACGTGGGACTGCAAAGCAAAGGGGACACGGCAACGGATTTAGATGAGGATTATCGCTGTTATAGTGGTTTCACAGCTATAAAAAATGCAAGAGGATTAGTGGCAAACATCAAGAGGAGCAAAATAGCAAAACAGAGTGAGAAAGCGAGATACGGCTCGCCTCAGAGATGAAAGAGATGCTCGTGTTCACGAAGAGACATTCAACCCAAGGAAATCTCTGAAATACATTTAATGTGCTACAAGATTTGTATTCTTTTCTACCGAGGGGTAGTTAATGAAGGTAAGATCATTTCGTATGCTTTAAAAAATAAAGAAATGCCTAAAAAAGCTTTTTATCAAACAAAAGTATTGTTCTAATAATGTAACATGGTTAAAGACTTAATGCATTCCAAAGTTTTCATAAATGATAAAAACGTCACTTTTATAGCCTACACCAATATATCTATTCAAGTCATGGGCAGTTTTGTCGAAATGAATGCAAACAAGTGTTTATGAGTATGACGTCCAAGTGACTGATTTAGCGGTTTCTGCTTTTAGGATTTGTTCTCAAATTCATGAATATTTTCGCAGTGCTACTGCTTTATAGTCTATAGAAATAGTGTTTTAGAATTAAAGAAATTACTGTTTAGTGTAATTGGTTAGAACTAATCGCTCATAAGTGAAAGCAACAGCTAAGTATACAAATAATAGAACCAGGAGTCCATTGATCAATTTAAAAAATATTGCATATAGGCTAGGCTACATAACATTTCATGCCTCTTGGTTGGTTGAAAGTCTTAATGGGGGGTCCCCATGTGTCTGGAATAAAAAAAATTTATAAAAATTTGCAATAACTTTTTTATAGACCAAATGAGCTTATGTTTTGTGCTACAACACATAACTGTTATACACTAGGTCTAATGGAGTTCTGTGTATAAATGTGTGCCCAGTGATAGAATTTGTCCATAAGAGCTGAATTGTCTGATGAACTGCACTAACATGTGTCTTTTGAGTTCTCTCAGATGCTATAGATTTCATTAGTGATTCCTTCCCACTTTCATCATTATATCAGTTCTTTATGGTTTTAAAAAAAAGCAATATTTTCAGACTGACTGTAAATGAGTCAGTCTTCAGCATTCATGTCTCACAGGCTTAATCAAGATCATTTTGTCATGGTTGACCTTTCAGGCGCATACATTTACCACCAATGGGGCAAGCCGCCTCATCTCCAAAGAGGCATCTGGCATAGAATAATGTATGAATACATACTCCTTAATGAATGCATTGCATCAGTCTGATTTTACTGTATTTCATAGTGTTCCTTTTGCAATTTCTTATCCCTGCTACAATTTTTTTTTACTTGTTCCTATATGAAGCAAATATTTTATACAGTAATTATTTACAGGTGAATAGGCTATGAAAGTAATGGCAGACCTTTACATGTTTTAGAAAAAAAAAATTAAGTGTTTTTTTTTCAGAATGTGATTCATCTCAGCTGCAAGGTCAAGGCTCTGAACAATCATTACAAGGAGACTCACTTTAAGCTAAATGAAGCAGTAAAATGATTATTCAGCCTTAGACCAGGTCTCTATTCATATAAATACCTTTATATTGCTTTGATTAGGCTGTCTTTCCCCCTTTAGATTTCCCATGCTTTGATCAAACACTGGTGACTGCAGTGTTCTCCTGCCTTGCTAAAAACCTATTGTAAATAATGAATGCATGGAGAGTGGTTGATTATCCTTCTCTGGAAATATTTTGTCTGGCCTTAGCACAGTTTGCAAGAGACAGTCTTATTTCCCTTCCATCTCCAATGGTCTGACACTGACAGAAGCATTCTAAATAGATTGAACCAATTCAATTCAATGTTATAATTCATACTTTGTAGTCACGTGACTACCATGGATACCTGGCGGGCAACAAACGCTGACAAAATGGTGACAAACAGTGGCCAGCCAAGGGAATTGCAGCCTTGTAAATTTCCAATACTACAATCAATTAACTAATTAGACCATATGTCACCGAATGTTAAAATTAGATGTCAAGAAAAGATTAACATACTCAGAACATGTGATCCATACACAGCACCCGCTGCTGTTTTCATTGCTTTGAAGCTGGCAAAGTCTCTACTGAGTTTGGAGATATTTAACATTACATATATCTTATAGAGAATGCGTCACCTCACACCGCACAAAAAAATGAAAGCCTACAGATGTACAGCTGTACAGGAGACAAAGCCTATGTCAGAGTAAAGAGAGGGAGGAGCCATGGTGGAGACGACTGACAAAACTAGGGGGGCGACTGACAGAGACTTAGCCAATGGAGGTGGAGATCCATGCTGAGCCGATGAGACCATGCCAGTTGGACTGAGGACCAAGGTGGAGCCGGAGGGATGGAGCAGAAGAGGTGGAAAGACAAAGAGCATCTGAAAGCCTGGACTGGAAGTTTGTGGTGCAGGCTGACCAACGTCTGACCAAGCGGGAATGGGAGGAATGAGGGAGCCTGGTGGAGCCGTAAGGATGATGGTCTTAGGTGGAGCCGAAGGAGGGAGGAGCTACGGTTGAACTGACTGGTCTACGAGCCGAGTAATGGGCTTGGCGGCTGGAGGTGGATCCAGGGTTACTCTTGCCAAGGCATTGCTGGTGACCGGAAGAGCCAAAGCAAATCCATACAGTAGTGAAGTCAGAGGAGGAGCTGAAGGAAAACAGTGGAGGCGGGGCCGACGGACTGGCTGTTTTTGGAAGAAGGCACAAACAAATGTTTTTTTTTAAGATAAAATATATAAATAAATAGATAAAATCATTTCTGACTGTAGTGCAGCTGAAAGAGGTCCACTGTGCAATGCAGACATAATACATAATACACCATATGTAAGAAATTAACCTTGGATGCACACACACATGCAAATACTCTACATTACAGCATAGCAGGTGAATTGGCGTTATCACCACCGTTAGGTCCATCTTTCACTATTAATAATAATGGTGATGATACCTGTACTAAACTGCATCAGCGCCCGGGGCGGGTGCTGAAAATTTAGGGCGGGATTTAACTTTTCATTCATAAAAACGGAGAACAGGAGAAAAAAAGAAAGTCAGGAATGAAAAAAACTCTGCTATTTTTTGATATTTCTCAAAATATCTTCTTTTGTGTTCCTGGTATCCCTTTAAGGGCTTATGTTCTACATTTACTGTTGGTTTAGGAACTAGTAAAATTGTGAGAAAGGATAGTGATAATGCAGTTTGTTCAATTTCATCATTGAACAGAACCAGGAAGCAGAGTATGCACAGATGACTTTCAATTCGTGAGAAACCACTACATTACAGTCAAGAAAGAGAGGGCTACGTTTCTTGGAATGCAGTGTCATCCTCTGCAGCTGATGGTGATGAGTCCCTGCAAAATACATGGAAATAATGCTGCAGTCTTGTCAGTTTGTGTCAGCGAGGACTACTGTATATGCATTTGTGTGTTGCGGTTTGCCTGAACTTGCTTTATCTCCCAGCAGAGGCCTCAGAATGATCACACTTACTTGTCTGTGGTCTGTGGGTGTAAAAGTGCTCCAGTGTCAGTACTTCGACTACGCCGTTTCGTGCATACATCCGTTGTAGTTTAGTGGTCAATAAATCGGTGTCCAGGGGCCAGCAGTTGCCATCTTTTCAGCCAGCATTTATTGAGCGAATTTTAGTTATAGTGCCTTGTTTATTGCCGGGCTATAAATCCCCAAATGTAAATGTGACTCAAGCAACACAAAGCATAAATAATCAAAGACAGACTATTCCTAACAAAATTTTAATGCATTGTCTAATTTATCTCCTTTCCTCTCTTGCCGCTGTAAGTGTCTAGTAAATACTGGACGTGAACCAGTGAAATTGAACATTCTTCAGTTTGAAACATATCTACAAAAACAACGATACGGACTCACGATACATTTATATGTGTGTTACTTTGCAATAGGCATTGTGTGTTTTAACCAAAAGCTCAGTTGGATCAAAAGCAAAATCGGACCAATTTAACAACAAATAACAGTTTAGTTTATATGGAGCTTTTGGACACTGCAGTGAAATTAATCCCTGCAGTGGATGATCAATAGTTTGAGTAGGCTGTAAATAAAGTGATTGACAATCACCTGCAGTTCAGCTCACAGCTGGAGGTTCCTCCTTCTTCAGAGGATTTTTGATTAAGTATTACGAATGCTTTTAAATGACATTTTCAAATCAGATGGACACATCTTGGCCAACATATAGGCTGATTCATTTGATTGAAATAAACTCTACTGAATAGCATGGTGTATATTTTTTGGTTTATTTTCATGTCCTTTAAATGGATATTATGCTAAATAAAATGCAATTTTGATGTGAACTCTTGATTAGTCATCACAACTACTCTTGGGAACTTTGCATATTATTTTGAATTCGCTGACAGGCTGCCAATCAGTGAACTGCTGGAAATGTCTTTTTAAATCTCTTTGATTAAATTATTCATTTGCACTGCAGTATTGAGTGATAAAAAGTTATCTAAAATTAGCTTCATGTGGTAACATTTAAATTAAACAAAATTCGTTTAAACCAAAGTATTATTTAACATAACTGAATCAACCACAATTTATTAGGTTACACTAGCCAAACTAAATGTAAAGGTTAGATCAGGTAGAAATAGCTCCTTACAGTAACAGTTGACCTTTTGCCGGCCCCTCCCCCCAAACGGCCATTGTCCAATCACACATCATAACAACCGTTAATATGTGAGCAGGACTGTCAAACATTGACTCCAAGCAAGATGGTGAAGCGGTGCGCCCACGACCGATAGATACCCCGATAGATTGTCTGGAGGAGTTGATATTTTCATTTCTAAAGTCACAACGTGAGCAGTGCCTACAATGGATAAAAACAGTATGGATGGCCCCACTCCCAGTTAATGTGTCGAACTCGAGTGCAGCGTGCATGAGACTGAGACACTGAGATTAGTCAAAGAAACATGGAGAAAGCAGATCAAGAGGATCCACAAAGGAATTACGTTTTCTAAAGGGTTGTTGTTAACATGATATTCTTGGGGGGAAATGAGCAGCCGTCGACTTAGCAGTGCAGCACCCGTAGCTACAGTTTAGAGGAGTGCATGTTCGCAACAGGGAAAGCATGAAGCTTACTTGACAACATCAGTTCATACATCAATATCATAACGAACAGAAATAACCTTAAAGGGATACTTCACCTCTGGAAAGATGAATGTGTATTTATAATGAGTTATTTATGTAGAAGAAATGTGAAGTTATTGTAGAATGTGGAGACTTTCTTGACTGAGAAA